GTGGGACTGGGTTCAAGGGATTTGTTGACATACTGTTGTAAATGTCTTTTTTCCCACACTGTTAGGTACAACTATATGTCATTGTGTTGGAAAATCTCAATAAAAAGATTTGGAAAAAACATTTTCGCAACTTTTCCAGTTTGGGTTTGGAAGGCAGACACCCTCTTCACATTTAAGAGTAGGCTTAAGACTCTTTGATAAAGCTTATAGTTAGGGCTGGATCAGGTGAGTCCTGAACCAGTTCCATTATTATTATAGCTGTTATTGTTGCTATTATTGTTGCTGTGCATCTCTGTCTCTTTCCCTCTCTCTTCCTACTAAAAACTACCCCCTGGGGTTAAAGTGTCCCTACTTGGGAATCAGTAACTTGTGTTTCCCCTTCAGTTAAACAGGGTTTAGTGTAATATGATGTGGATGTGTTATAGGCTGTCCATACAAAGGTTTTTGGGCAGGAAAACTAATATTTGTTTCAATAAAATGACAAATTTCCAGCTGCTTTCATTAACTTACAGAGGAAGTGTTCTGCACACACACACACACACACACACCTTTCTCCATGTACTCGGTGATGATATAGATAGGCTCCTCCTTGCTGACCACAGCATGGAGTCGGACCAGTTTGTCATGCTGTAGAGTCTTCATCAGGTTGGCCTCCATCATAAAGGCTTCCACGGACATGCTTCCAGGCTTCATGGTCTTCACTGCCACCTTCGTGTGCTTATTGTACGTGGCTTCAAACAAAACAACAAGAATCAGAAAGTGAACCTTTGGTTTCTCCATCGATACCCGCATTCTGAAATGATTCACATCCGTCTCACCCATCCAGACTTCTCCGAACTGGCCAGCACCAAGCCTCTTCTCCAGTTTTAGTGATGATCTGGGGATTTCCCAGGCATCTTTCTCCCAGGGCTTCTCAGGTTTGGGGCTCAGGCATGGGCTGGTCAGGGATTGGCAGAGGCCATCTCCCTGCTCTGGAATGAACAGAGAAAATATTTAATGATTTGATTTTGTGTTTGATTTGATGTATTTGAGGTTCATTTTATGCATTGATTTTATATAATATATTCCATAAGTTGCTCTTATTTGTGGGGAAAATTACACAACTTCACAAATAATAATATACTAAAAGCACTTTCATGCTGATATTAAAGAGCAATACCATTCATCACTCAATGACCCTGACAACGTTTCACATATGTTGATGTATTAAAGTGCCCAGCAGAGTGCGCTGTACGTCAATAAGCATCAGTGTTGGAACAGAACGGAAGTTTCTCTTTTCTGACACACCTGAGAAAACTAACCCCTTACAGAATGACTGAGGATTTCTCATCATTTTAATAATGGCAAAAACTCAACTAGACTTCTGAAAGCTGTGAGGAGGTCTGAACTGTGCCAGCAGTAAACTCACTCTTGTAATGGCTGACCAGCTCCTGCAGGGTGCTGAAGGTGTTGCGGGGGGAGATGTAGAACCCTCCGTTGTCCAGCGTGCGGATCTTATAATGCTTCACCGTGTCACCAGACCGGGGGTCGCTGTCCATGACAGACAGAGAGTAGCTGCCTGTGATGAAAGAGAAAGAAACCAGAGGTTACCATGAGACCTGAAGGGGATTTCTAAATGCTGATGCCAGTACTTTTTCACACAAGAGTTCATGTTTTCGGATGATTCAACATTTTAAAACTTTGATGTGCCAGGAAACTACAGGTTACAGACCAAAATAGGACATTTGAAGCGGCACTCAAGTGATTTCACTTTCAGTTCATTTAGGGGGGCTGCATTTTTCTTTTGCACCTCCAGGTTGTAATGCAGGCTTTTTGTTAAACATTTAAAAAGTCACCCAATTGCTGAGGACAAAATCCTCATGATCCTCTTTTTAAAACTTTAGAAAGCTCCCCCCAGAGCCAAGGGTTTTCACAGGCTGTGTAGTGCTCATGTGTAAAACAGTCCTGCACAGAACAAAAGATTAAAGATCAAAAGTCTTTCTCACAGGATATTTTGACACCTAAATCAGCTCATATTATCAACCTTTTTTTTTTATGTGAAAGCCACAAGCTCAGCACATTGTCCCTGAGGAAACAGCACAGGCAGCTACAGCAGGAGCACAGGCACTGCGGCGATTAACAGATACTTTTCCAAGAACACAACTTTAGAATTCTAGACACTGGTGGGCAGGGTGATCGCCCCCAACCTGGTGCCTCCATGTTTGAAAAAAAATATGCAAAAGCAACCTCTATCATGCCCCTATGGTAGATAAAATACGATGAAGTGGTTGACCTTCCAGTGTAGAAAACGGTGTTTAAGTGCCCTATAGGGTGCCCTTTCAGTGGAAAAAGACAAGATAAAAGTTGTTTCACCATAAATACATCACAACTCTCTGCAAGATGGTGCCCTTTTAAATTTTTTTGCCCCTGCCCCTCAAACAGCCTGAGTCTGCCTGTTCTACAGCAGCAACTGCAGAGGTCAAACTGCTTGATCCGTCAGACGGGGTTCTTACTGTCAAGAAATTCTCTTTACTGCTGCTTCCACTGATCCACTAAAAGAACAGATCATCTGTTTTATTTTACTCACCCTTGGTGGTCTCGCTGTCTCGGATCATGAAGGATCCCACTTTGTTCCCAGGGGCCAGCAGCTGCCTCTCAGCATCTTTCCTGCTTACACCCTTAAAGAACCACCTCAACAACAGGAAACAGATCAGTTAGTACAGAAACATCTCAACGGCTCCTCCAGCACAAACATTAATTTTCCACTTATATCGTGTGCTTTGTTTCACACTACACAACAGGTAAATGATACTGCTGCTATATACAGTAAGGCAAATGACCGATAAAAGCAATAATAATAATAATAATAGTGTAACTAATGTAATGTAATGTAATTTGTCAGACTCTCTAGACTAGGGGTTCCCAAACGTTACCATGCCAACCCCCCAAATACCATTAGCTTATGGCCAGGGCACCCATTTTGCAAGATAATAATAACAGGGCAAATGAAAAAAACAACAACTTCTGAAACATTTGAAAATGTTGTATATTATTCTAAATTATATTTTATAAAAAAAGATAACCAGCCATGAGCAGCTGGTAACTGTGTTGTAAGGTTAGCTAAACTAGTGTCTCAGAGAGCTCTCTGGTGTCTGTGGCAGAGTGTCAGGCTAACGGCTATGTAGAAGGCCAAAGTCTGCAGAGGCGAGACGTTGGTTTTATAGAAGCAGGGATTGTTTCAACCAGTAGAGGGCAATCGCTGTGCATTATTATAGCAAAATATGTGGAATTCAAATACAGATTTGGACCTGAATCAATCAGCAACATTAGTGAATACCCGTATACATAGGTTTTTAGTCATGAGATAACTTTTGTTATGAATTGGCACTATACAAATAAAACTGAAAGGAAATGAATTGAATGGTTTTGGTGTTAGGTTGCTCTTTAATCATATGTGAAAGGGTGGTTTAAATTGATATGAAACAACTAGAAATTATATTATATTTTCGATATCATGTTTTGGGCTGCAGCGAGAGGGATGGAGGGCGGGAAATGTCACCCAGGCCAGCAGTTTGAGATCCCTGCTCTAGACAAGTGAGCTACTAATAATGTATAGAAATATGTTTTCAATGTGAGTCCACTTACTCCTCTGCCTCCAGGGTATCTTTAGCTACATAGTTGCTGGGGATGTAACCTTCCTGACCTGTACTGATCAGCATAGCTCTCCACCACTCCCCCGATCTACAGAGAGAGAGAGAGAGAGAGAGAGAGAGAGAGAAAACCACACAGACAAAGTGTGAACATTTCTTGTGAACAAAGACACACAATTGAAGTGTTGAATGATTGAGGCAGCAAAGAACTCATGATCTTTCTCACTCTTGACTCTTTACTTACTCCTCTAAGATTTTAAGCTTATCTCCCTTCCTGAAGCCAAGGTCTCCTTCGTGAATGGCCTCATAGTCATACAGTGCCATGGCAATACTCTCTCCTACAGGCCAGAAAAAAACAGAAGAGAGAAGCAGAAGGCCTCATGTTGATACATTGTGGTCATGATGCAGTGTAAAATATATCCCTCTTGCATTATCATGTGAAAGCTACATTATATGCTGCGAAAACATCCTTGTAAAACACTTAAAAACCCACTGGATAAACTTGAAAATGATGACAGAGCCCACGCCTGCTTTTCTTGGCTTGCGGAAAGCCGGCAGGAAGTTTCTCATGTGAGTGTACATGGCTGAATATCTGTGAATGTTGTTTTTTTAATGGAAGCACTGCATTTAAGTGTGAGTCTTTCTTTCCCCCCCCCCACACACACACTTTGACTGTATAACTGACTTCCTGGTATGCTTGATAACAATAGAAGTGGGGCTGTGTATTGGTGGCCCGTGTGGTGAGGCGGTGAGGGGCTATCACACGCTCTCCTTCCTCTCTCTCACTTCGGACAGTGTTTCTCTGTGTCTAATGCAAGAACTGATGTAGATGAGTCTGTTTAAAGCATGCTGTTGGCATACTCTGTGGTGGTGTTCGATAGAACATGGTGGGAACTTAGAGACAAACCTGCAACTGACTATTCTTAGTGGTTTTCTAGTGGCATACTTGTAACTTACTGAATGTAAAATACAGAATCAAGTACAGGTGCTTAAGGGTTGCAATACAGACTGTGTAAGTTGAGTATTAAGTACATAAAGATAGTGACTCACCTTCTGAAGAGGTTGCATTGGATGGCATCTTGCTCTGTAAAGAGAAACACAGAGAGACCATGTGGTCCGTATGTATATGTGGTATAAGGTTAAGAGAAGATGTAAATTCCATCAAATATTATTTGTCCATTTTTTATTAATTCTAAGTGGGAAAAAAACTCTCTTGAAGCTGCATGAATTGGCCATTCCTAAGTCTTTTTGCTCTGTGCTCCAAAAAACAGTTGAGCTAGCCTCTCAACCTCCGTTTTAAAGATGGTTAAAAGATAACAGTGACATAGATTAAGTTACATCTTAAGTTAGCTTATGTTAGCATAACGTTAGCTTACTAGCTCACCAGCAATTTATATAAATTAGCAAGCCAGTTAGGTAGACCTTTGCTAACATTAGACAGATGTGACTAGGTAGCTTACAATTGTTTTGTGTTTAACTTTTAACCATCTTTAAAATGTGGTTGTCTGTTTATTGATGACCCTAGCAAATAGCATATCTAAGTAGAGGAAGCAATTATTTTCAAGTCATAGATGACAGCAGCCCATCCAGGTACTTTGGCCTTGCGTCATGCTCCGCCCCTTCTGGGTAAAAGCCGCCCCTCTAATTTGACTGGTGGTTCCGGGATCTTTGCCAATTTGATAGCATAAAATAAAAACACCCTACTGCTTTTTAGCCTTTAGGAGCCAAAATCCTATGGCCAGTAAGGCAAACAATTATGTTGTGTCATTGCCAATCAATGATCTGTGTTATTATATAGAAATAATGCAGAAATAGGGGCAGGGAAGTTTTTCTTGAAATGTTTGCTTATGGTGGGAACTGTTGGGTCTCTGTAAATAATGTGAGTTCAGTCTAGACTGCTCATTGAAAAGTGTCCTGAGATAACTTCTGTTGAATTGGTACTATACAAATAAAGTTTAATTGAATTATTTTGTCTGTCCAACGTTACGTTACTGCAATTACATCGCTGTGGCAAAGTAGAACCGCAGTTTTTTTGCTACGAGCCTAGAGAAGTAGAAAACATGTTGGTCTTATCTCTACTTACTACATTACTTTATTACAAGGTTCATTGTTAGAAAGTAGGTCAGCTCAGTTTATATAATTTATTAAGGTTAAAATTCCCTCTGCTCCACACTGTCAAACCAAACTCTATTCAAAAGAAACAGTTTTATGGTAGGTTTTTTTTTCCACAGTAAAAACGTTATTTACACAATCACTAAGACATCACTAAGATGACTGACATCTACAGACACAATTGGCGCACGTCACTTACTCAGTAACATCATTAACTAACCTGTGTCCTCTGTCCGGGTCCCAAAGTTTAACATTTTCATCCTGTTTGTGGATTGCCTAGAGCCACACATTTCTTTTACTGTCCTTTGTTGATTAGAAAACTAAAGAAAATTATTTTTATTGTTTGAGGTGCAAAATGCGATGCAGCAGCTTTTAGGCATGTGCCACTAGGGCACTTTTACAGAAGGGGGGCATGGTCATTCTGAAGACAAGAAAGTGACGAATGGCTGCTCTCATCTGAAGCATATCTAAGAACAGGAAATACAGTAATTTTTTTCCCAGGGTGGCCAACTCATGACCCGCCCTACTTTGCCTCAGACTGTCTAGTACTTGTTGCCTAGGTTTACGAATGAGGAGTGAAACTAATTAGGGTTAGGGTAAGAATGTCAAGGTAAGCCAATTAGAGGCAGAGCAGGGTTCTTTATGACTTCATCATCCTGGGGAAAAAAATATTGCATATTGGAAAGGAGAATGTTGGCTGAGGTTCTGACCAGGGCTTGCTCAACTGTTGCTGGAGCACAGAGAAAAGAGGAGCAGGACTTAGAAAGGATTCATTTTTGGGCTACTTGCAACAAGCAACAACCTGTAAACATAACACTATCATCTTATTGCAAACATGTTAGCAAAAAGTTGTTTATTTTAACCAAGCGGCAAACTCCATGCCTGGCAAATAAAGCCAACACCGAAGTGCCAAAAACTGCAGTTCCTCTAACAGCCACTTGAGGCAGGCTCAAGAAGTGAGTCAGTCTCCATAAGGCCAAATAATAAAATGCTTTACAGCAGAAATAAACATGTTTACAGCCTGGCACAAAAAATGCTTTTGCTCTCTATAGCTAATTTCCCCCATTCATGACAACTGTACAGGAGTGAATTTTTATATAACTCACCAGTTTAAATTATATTAATGTTTAAAGTTATGTATAATTAAAGGAGTGGCTGCTTTGAGTGACAGGAGGGTACAGTCACAGGCAGCTGTTTTCAGTAACCAGGCTTTATTCAGCCCACAGCTCCACCCACGCACCACCTCTTTGTCCCTTTTTTTTGGCTGCCAAGATGGCGACAGCCAGAACCTACCACACTGAGCTTCACAACGGCTCTCCAGAAACCTATGGGTGACGTCACAGACAGTACGTCCATTTTTAAATATTTAATTTAATTACATTCTATGATTTAAATATCCAGCAGACAGGGAGCAATATTTGCATTCATTTGGGTGTGATTAATATAAGTATAATTTTATTATACTTATTATTAGTATTGTCTTGGAATATTACTCACTACATTAAAGCTGCAGTAATTTTTATAAAAATAGTTTTTTGTCATATTTGCTTAAACTTTCACTATATCCTGACAGCAGTACATGAGACAGATAAT